CCCTTGGGGCTGGGGATTTAGCTCAGCGGCAAAAGCTCCTGCCTGGCAAGCGCAAGGTCGTGAGTTCGGTTCCCAGTACCGGAGAAAAACCAAAAAAAAAAAGACAGACCCTCACTTTTCAACTCTCGTGTATTCATTGAGAATCTCAACACTCTTGTCAAGAAGTCTGATGTGAGGTACTCTTCTCGAAGTGTGATAAAATTGTGGGTTGTTCCATGTATAAGGACTTTCAGCTTCATTCAGTGCATTAATGAGAGAAATGCCCAAGTTGTTGTAGCAGAAGATGGATCTTCTTCCAACTCTGGAAAAACGAAAGGAGATGACCCAGATAAAATCAAAAGTAGGTTCTCTACTGCAAAGAAAGGAACAGAACAAACAAGGGATATGAAGGATGGTAAGTTGGAGAGGCGCAGCATTCAACTCCTTGGAAAGGAGACTGAAGGAGACTAAAGGAGGCTCAGATGAGTGCTGGTGATGCGGGGACTGACTAGGGGAGCTGACCAGGGTGGTCAGACGGGCGAAGGCAGGAGAGATGATGCTTAAGTACGTAATCTTATCCCTTTGGGGTTTTTATTCAGTCTCTCTGTGGGTATGTTCAGCACATGCTCACTGTCACCCCATCCTTGTCCTTTCTGTGTTCATTAATTCATACTGCTGTGCCCCAGTCCCATTTTCAATTCCTTTGGCCCAGAATGTAGAAAAAAGTACCAAGTAGCTCAAGCTGAGCTTTTACTGAGAATGCAAGGGTAGTGTTAAAAAGTAAAAACCTATCACTATAAATTATCATATTAAGAGATCAAAGGAAGAAAAGGCATAAATTTTGTAAAACATATAAAGAAATTTTTCATAAAACTAAATAACAGACTTGTTAAGTCTTACCCAGAATTTTTTGCTTTTAATTTTGATACCTCTTTAAAAAGAAATAAAATTTTAAAATAAAATTCATTAAATAGTGTTGGTCACACTTTAAAAAAAGTTTTTACCAAGTTGGTCCACTTCAAGAAAAAAATATATTCATGGCAAAAACTTAGGAACCAGAACAGCCAAGTATTTATAACTCTTCCTGTGAATGTGGAGCCCCAGTTATGGTGAGTAAGTCCCTTTGTGCCACTAACAGGATATAGCCTCCAGGAGTTAATGGCTTGTAGAAAGCATGGAACTGGAGATGTCTCAGGCTGAGACTTCTCAGAAGGCAAGGAAATATAAAAAAGGATTGAAATTCTGTCAAAAGTTGATTGTAACTTAAAGTATCACAAAATATTGCTAAGAATTTTTATCAGGAAAGGGTACTGAAATTTACGAAAAACTTCTTTGTATGTTTTACAAGATTTATGCCTTTTCTTCCTTTGATCTCTTAATATGATAATTTATATTGATAGGTTTTTATCTTTTAACATTACCCTTGCATTCTCAGTAAAAGCTCAGCTTGAGCTACTTGGTACTTTTCTCTACATTCTGGGCCAAATGTGATAGTCGAGTGTAGTATTTTGTTTCTTAGTGAGATATTAACCTGTAATTTTAGTTTCTCATACATTTTTGGTTGTATTTCAGTCAGGATTCTTTGAGCCTTAATACTTTTTTTAAATTTGAGAAGACTCTTCCATTTATATTCATTGTAATTGCTGATAGGCTCAGATTTACCTTCACCGTATTATGGGCTTTGTATTTCTACTTTTCTTCTTTTTTTCCTCTCTTGTTGCTTTTGTTCTTTTATAGTAAGTTCATTTTTCCACATCTCCACCCCACTATACTCCTTTAGAAATCAGTGTGTGGGCTCTACTTTTAGTGCTACTTTTGGACTGCTTGTAAATGTCTGCTTAAAAAGTACCTAAAGCGAGCAAGTAACCAAACTTCTAAATGTTAGTATCCAGATGTAGTTTCTGTCTAGTATTTTAGCTTTATGTATTTGCTCTACAAATTTTGCCTTTAAGTTACTATTTTATGCAACAATTATTTATTCATAATTGTCCATATAGTTCACTTTTTTTGCTTTTAATTCTTTCTGATAACCACTTTACTTATGAGAACACTCACATTTTGATTGAATTTTCTTTAGTGGAACTCTTGTTGGTAAACTCAGCTGGCGTGTTACTTTTTTGTTTGTTTGAAAATATCTTTATTGTGTCTCACTCTTTTTTTTTTTGTGGTTTTTCTCCGGTACCGGGAACCGAACTCATGACCTTGCACTTGCCAGGCAGGCGCTTTTGCCGCTGAGCTAAATCCCCAGCCCCTATTGTGTCTCACTCTTGGAGAGTTCTGCCGTGGATATAATTTTAAGAGGAAAATTAACTTTTCTCAGCATAATCAACACATTCGACTACTTTTTGGCATGTATTATTTTTTGATAAGTGAGTTATTAGTCATTACTCCCTTTTGTATTTAATTTACGCTTTCCCTCTGGACTCTTTAAAACTTGTATTTATATTTTTTCTGTGAACTTGTTACAGTTTTTAACACGTTCTATTTTGGATTTGTTGGACTACTTTGGGCATTCTTTTTAACCAAAACACAAATTTTTCTTTAGACGTTAATTTGTTCCCCTTTCTGTCATCACCTTCTTGCATTTTGTTTTAGACATATGTTAAATCTTTTTATCCTGTCCTGTATATCTTTTAAACTTTCTTACATTTTACCTGTTCATGACTTTGTGCTTCATGCTGAGTAAATTTTTTTGATTCATCTTCCTAATTTAGTAATTCCCTTTCTAGTTGCATCTTAACATGTCATTTAGTTCCTTCCTCATTCTTAACACTTCTTTTGTTTCAATTTGGATGATTTCTATTGGGTTATCTTTAAGTTTCTCATTTCTGAACTTAGTTGAGCCTACTGATGGGTTTGTCAAAGGCATCTTCCATCTGTTACGACAGTTTTTGTTTCTGACATTTACATTCTACTCTGTTTTGCCCTTATTTGTGGGGTTTGTTTTTTTTTATATAGCTTTATATTTTCCAATACTAAAAGCTATGGCTTATGTCTAGATGTCCCCTCAAAGCCTCATGTAGCCATAGGGGAGTGTTTTTCAGAGGTGGCTGGATCTAGAGTGTGTGATGCTGTGACCAAGGGTGTGGGATTACTAAATTAGTCCACTGATTGATTTGGCATAGTTCTGGGTAGAATAAGATATAAGGGACAGAAGAGTGTTGCTGTTTGTTGCTTGTTGCTTGTAGCTTGCTGCCTTCTGCCTTCTGCCTTCTGCCTGGCATGTACTATATCTCCTCTACCATGCCACCCTGCTGTAGAGCCAGTAGTCAGCTGTAATCTGAAACCTTTACAGATTGTAAGCTAAATAAACTTTTCCTTCTTTGAGTGTCAAGTATTCTGTTTCAGCAACGAGAAAAGTAACTAAGACACTACCATACTTCCAAAAGGCTTCATACATGATAAAAATATGCTCTGTCACTGGATTTGTTTTTTTCATCCTTTATGCCCAGCCCATTTTTCATCCCCAGCCCCTGTTTTTACATCCTTCTTTCCCCTCATGATTAGGTTTCATTGCATTTGGATGGTAGTGGTTTTTTGTTGTTGTTGTTGTTACTGTTTTTGATTTTGTTGTTGTTGTTGTTGCTGTGGTTTTGATTTTTGCAGCACTTAGGGAGTAAGCCCAGGACATTGTGCAATAGGCACATACTCTACCGCTGAGCTGCATCCTGGTCCTTTTTTGTTCGGAGAAAGGATCTCATTAAATTGCCAGCTGGCTTTCAACTTGTGAGGCTGTTGCCTCAGCCTCCTGAGGAGTTGGGATTACAGGAGTATGTCAGCATACCCAGTTCAAGTGCTTTCTTAGAAGGCTTTGTATTTGTTCTTGCCAGATGGTTATGTACATTATCAGTCCTGAACTTCTTTAAATTTACTTTGTGTTTAAGGTTTTATAAATTCAAACTATGGACCTGCATGAGGGATGGGTTATGGTTCTGAATTCTCAGGTGAAAGGAGTTTTTATGTGGTTGCTCCCCCACCCCCTTCTGTTAGAGTCAGAGAAGTTTTCTTCATGGCTCCCTCCGCTTACACCTTGCTCGTCTCTTCCAGTTAGATTATAGCTATTTGGGGTCAGCTTTATGAGTACATCTCCTATTGGATTTTCAACTTTGGTAAATTATTTTCTCCAGTTTCTCTCACTGCTTTTAACCATCAAACTGAAAAGTTTTTGTGTTTATAAAGTTTTATTTTTTTAATCTCACATTATTTTAATACAACATTTAAACATTTATATATGATATTTTAGTTGTATTCAGTTAGAACCTTTGGAGGGCGTTTAATCATTTACACTCATGAGATAAGTCATCTTTCTTATTTGATACTTTTCCTAGTATTTTGAAATTTATTTTGAAAGATACTTTCTAAGATTAACTTACATTTCTACTTCGAAAATCCTTTTGATTTAAACCTTTGCTTTTGCTCATTAGTGGTAGGTAGTAAAAGATTTAAGAATCATTTAAAATTGGACTTTCATCAAAACTGTTTCTTCTGGGCAGTATGAAGTTCATGACCTTCTTAAATGACACTTGGATCTTTTTGTTTTCTTTTTGACACTTGGATTTTGAGTCCTAACTCTCCCACTGTGTCCCCACTTTTATAAATTACTTTTATGAGTTTTTATACTATCCTTCATTAAGATGAGCCTTTTTGTTTTCTTTTGTTTGGGTTTTTTGAGACAGGATCTGGCAGTTTGTAATTAGACTAACTCAGAAGTTGTAATTATTGAATGTGTAGGTGTACTTAACAGCCTTCACTTCTAGTAAGTGACTTGACTTAGAGGATATGTGTTTATGTGTGCAAGAGAGACTGTTTCCTGAAAGGAAACTGTGGTCTCCAGGTCTTTATAATCACAGCGCCTTTAGTCTTTTTGAGCACATGAGCTTTGTCTTATATGGACTGTTTTCTTGAAGCAGTTTCTTGCCAGAAGTAAATGAAGCATCCTGATGAGTCTTTTAAGACTCCATAGACTTTCAGTAATATGGAAAAATTGGATATTTAATCAGGAATGTGAACGTGTGTTTCAGGTGGAGAATTCTAAAGATAATGAAGATAATATTCTACAAAGAGAAGTTCCTGCCAGGCAGTCTCGACGAAGGTTTCGAAAAATTAATTATAAAGGAGAACGCCAAACTATAACTGATGATGTGGACATTAATAGCTATCTTTCTGTGAGTATATTTAGGAAAATTTCATAAGTGTTCCTTAATTTTCATGTGCAGTATCTTTAATTGACCTTTTTTTGGTAGTATCAAGAGGTTAGTCTCTGTATAAGTTTTGGACAGGTAATTATACCTTTATAATTTTTAGCAATACTGCTTCATTGAATTGATTAGAAATACTCTTTCAGTGGGAATTTTGCTTTTATTTAAGTCATGAAAAAAAAACCTTTTTTCTCTGTCTTTTTAAGAAATATTAGTGGAATTTATTGCCTGAAGAGTGTATAGGGTATAGATAAGCATCCAGAAACTCAGGTAATAGGTTCATGGGGAGCTTTTCTCCCTGTATGACTAAAGACGTATAAAAGAAGTAAAAACACAGCAGTTCTTCCCTTGTGATGTGGAACAAATATATATAATGTTTATCAGTGCAGAAATGTACAAGTGTTGAATGTATCTTTTCATATGCAAATATTCAAAAAGAAGCAGATGAAGTATTACTTTTTGTAACAGTAGAAGTGTAAGCTATTTCTTCAGAAATGTTTAATTTGCTTGTTGTAGATAACTTCTTTTTTAGTTTGAAAAATAGCAAAATTAAGGAACAGAGGGTAACCTAAGACTGAACAAATCTATGTGTTTTTTGGTTTTTGTCTTGCTTTGTTGGTTTGTTTGTTTACTGGAGATTGAACGCAGGGCCCTGTGTGGCAAGTGTTCTACCACTGAGTTACATCCCTAGTTCTCCGTGTGTATTTTCGAGCCAACAGGTTCCATAGTTAGTTCCAAGAGATTGTGGTCACCAAAATACAAGAAGTAGGGCCAGGCATGGTAGCACATGCCTGTAATCCCAGCACTTGGGAGGCTGAAGCAGGAGGATAGCCTTGAGTTCGAGGCCAGACTGGACTGCATAGTGAGTTCAAAGCCAGCCGGAACTACACAGTGAGACCCTGTCTCAAAAAAATACAAGAAGTGTGCAACTATTTCTCCTCTGTTTACACGTCTGTAAATGATTATCAGCAGAAAAGGGATATTGATAGCAACAAAATTTTGGCCTTTTGGTTGTCAAAAATAGAACTACAGTCATTCCTTGTTCAGAATAAGAAAGACTTAGGAAGGTGCTTATGTTAGAATTAGATTTAAGGCCCCTTCTAAAGATTTTGTCACATCTGCCTACTTGCATTGATTAAAAGCATTCTGTTTCTGACAGCAAGTAATACCTGGCGCAAAACGCATTGCTGCAGCCACAGGCGCACAAGGGTCACTTCTTCTTCTCATTATTTAACAAATTTTATACCGTGTATTTCGCTATCACTAATCAATGTAAGCTAATTTGTTTTACCTAATTGTGTGTGTCTGTTTGAAAAATTAGAAATTCATTTTCACCACCTATATAACAGTTGATAGGCATTTCATATATTTTTTCTTGTTTTTGTTTTATTTTGTTTCGTTTAAGTCGGGTCTCACTCTGCAGTTCAGGCTGGCCTTGAACTCACTATTTTGCCCACGCTGGCTTTAAACCCATGGTGATCTTCCTGCTTTAGTCTCCTGAGTGCTGAGATTACAGGCATGTGCCACCACACCTATCCTTTTTTTTCCCCAGCCTTTCATATATTCTTTGAGAAAGTTTTGAACATGTCAACAGATATGTAAGTTTGTTTTGATAACTTTTGAGAACAGTTTTTTTTTTTTTTTTTCTTTTTAAGACAGCCTTTCACTATGCAGTTTAGGCTGGTTTTAAACTCACTTTGTAGCCCAGGCTGGCCTCAAACTCATACAATCCTCCTGCCTCAGTCTCCTGAGTGCTGGGAATATAGGTGTGCGCCACCATGCACAGCAACTTTTGAAAATTTAAAAATATAATATTCTTTTTACTCTAAAACCCAAATATATCCTGTCAAAATCCTTGAATCCTTTTAGATGATCTTTTAGACAATTACTCTTAATGGTTATATAATACTCCATTGTAACACTATGCCATAATTTATTTGGCTCCCAGTATTTGGTCATTTAAATTGTTCCTACTCAAATTGTTTAAATTGTTTCTGCTTCTTCAATATTATGTTTTTGATGAACATGGGTTAACTGTACATATTAATGAAGTTCAGTGTGATACTTTAACACTTGCCTGCAGCATTCGCTGATCAAATCCAGCCTCCCTTTATCTACCTTCTGTCAGTGCCCCTGCCTTTCCCAACATACAAAAACAGTATTTTCAGATCAACTTTTTCTTATCTTCTAAATATGGCATACAGAGCATATGGCACTTGTCCTTCTCTGTCTGGTTTATTTACTTAAAGTTAATTAAGCTTATCTGGTTTTATTTTATTAAAAAGACAGGATTCCATTTTCCTTTATGGCTGAATAATAATGTATATATAATCATATGTAGAATTATATATAAAATGATATATATCTCATTTATCTATCCACTCATCTCTTAATTGGTACCTAGGTTGATCCCATAGCCTGTATTATGAATAGTGCCACAGTAAACATGGTGATGTGGTTATCTTTTTCATATGCTTTATTTCCTGGATATATACCCAGAAGTGGGATAGCTGGACTGTATAATATGATAGATCTATTTTTAGTTTTTTTGAGGAACCTTAATACTGTCCTCAATTATGGCTCTGCTATTTCTCATTCTTGCAACAGTGCGTGAGAGTTGCTTGCTTTTCCACATCTCATGAACATTTTGTTTTGGGGGTCTTTTTTATATTAGTCATTCTCACTGGGATGAAATGATACCTCACTGTAATTTTGATTTGCATTTCTTGTATAGCTAATGATGTGGAACCTTTTTTTTTTTTTTGTCTTTTTGAGGCAGGGTCTCACTATGTAGTTCATGCTGACCTTGAGCTCACTTTGTAGCCCAGGCTGGTCTTGAACTCACAACATTCCTCTTGCCTCAGCCTCCCGAGTGCTGGGATTACAGGCATGTGCCACCATGGACCTTCTTTTTTTTTTTTTTTTTTGGTACCAGGAATCGAACTCAGGACCTTTGCGCTTACCAGACAGGTGCTTATGCTGCTGAACTATATCCCCGGCTCCTGGCTGGAACATTTTAAGTACATATTTATGGGCCATTTATATTTCTTCTTCCTCTTTCTCTTCTTCACTAGGAATTGAACCCAGGTCCTTGCCCTTGCTGGGCAAGGTCAGTTCTTTTTATTTTGAGACAGCTCTCACTAAGTTGCTCAGGGTAGCCTGAACTTGAGATCCTCCTGCCTCAGCCTCCCATGTAGCTGGGATTACAAGTGTGTGTAATTCCTGGCTTTGTACTTCCTTTGAGGATATCTTTTAGATCATTTGCCTGTGTCTTTGGACTAGATGGAGGTTTGGGGTGTTTTTTTTTAAGTTTTTTTGAGTTCCTTCTGCCTTCTGGATAGTAATTCTGTCAGGTTTATAGTTGTCAAGGGTCTTTTCCCATTTTATGCCTCATCTCTTCATTCTGGCAGTTGCTCCTGTTGGTGTACAGCAGTTGTTTCATTTGATGTGATCCCGTTTGTCCAATTTTGCTTTGGTTACTTGTGTTTGGGGCTCATAACCTATATTAATGTCCTAAAAATGTTTCCCCTATGTTTTCTTCTAGTCATTTCAGAGTTTCAGGTTTTGCACCTAGGTTTTTTGATCATTTTTATTTGATTTTTATACAGCATGAGTGATAAGATTAAATTTCCATCTTCTCTATATAGATACCTGTTTTTCCCTCCCGCACCATTTAATGAAGAGATTGTCTTTTCTCCAATATACAAGGTTTATAAAAAACTACAGTGAATGTTAAAATATTTTAAAAATCGGTTACAGGAAAAGACATATCATTAATTCCCTTCAAAATACTCCCTCTTCCTTTTAACATACTTAATCCATCATTCTTGCCACTTTTTTTTTTTTTTTTTTTTTGGTACTGGGGATCTAACTCATGACCTCATGCTTCAGCCAGGCAGGCACTGTGTCACTGAGCTGTATCCCCGGCCTTGTTACTTTTTGAAGCCATTCTGGAAATCCTCTTTTGTGAATGACTTTAGTTGCATTGTCGTGGCTGCCATGATGTCCTGAACGATTAAAAACATTTACCTTTGATAGTTATTTTAACTTGGGGAAAGAGCAGATCTGATGCTAGATGCTTTGAATAAAGTGGATGAAGACACACTGTAATGTTTTGGCAAGGCTACCTTTTCATTGGACGGCGCTCACCAGAAGCGTATCCTATTTTTTATCACATCCACTAAAGACATAAAAGAGGATTTCCAGAACTGCTTCAAAAGGTAGCAAGAATGCTGAGATAAATGTGCTCAAAGTGTATGTGGAGGGATATTTTTAAAGGGACCAATGTCAGTGTGTCTTTCCTTGGTATAATTTTTTGTTTAAAAAGATTTTCATCACATTGTGTATATTTTTAGTATCTTTCTTGAGAATCAGGAATACCGGATGCCTGGTATTATTCCTGAGAATCTTAATCCATTGGTTTATGTATCTGTTTTTGTGCCAGTACCATTCTGTTTTTGTTACTACATTATTCTGTAGACATTTAAAATAAGGGAGTATTGTGGTACCTCCAGCTTGTTTTCTTTGTCTAAGATTGCTTTGATTATTCTGAGACTTTTATGCTTCTATGTGAATTTTAAGATTTTTTTTTATTTTGTGAGGAGTGTCATTGTTACTTTGATGAGGATTGCATTGAATCTATAAATCAGGTAGTTTTATTCTCCAATACTATATACATGGGAGGTCTTTCCATTAAATGTGTCTTGTTCAATTTGTTTTCCTTTTTTATTTCTATAATGTTTTGTAATTTTCACTGTAGAGGTCTATCATATCACTTCCTTGGTTAAATTCATTTCTAAGCATTTAAATTTTTTTTTTGTTAGTAGCTATTGTAAATGATATTGCTCCCCTGACTGTTTTCAGCAAGTTCATTATGGTGTACAAAAACAATGATTTTTGTATGTTCGTTTCGTATCCTGCAGCTTTACTAAATTCATTAATCAGTTCTAATAGTTTTTTAGTGCAGT